GGCAAATCTGTATTCAGAGTAAGTGTCAATTCCAGTAACAACAACACTGCCTCTTCCATGATGGAAGCAGTCCAATGAAATCACCTGCCACCAGGTAGCTTGCTGATCACCCCATGGAATGGCACCCAATCAGGCATGCAGTGTTGGCCTCTGGCAGATTGGGCGCTCAGGAGAGTCTAAAGGCAGGTCAGTCCTGGTGACTGGAAGTCCATACTGCTGAGCCTGTGATAACCTCCATTCCTGCCATGGCCACTTTTTTCGTGAGCCCAAGGGTGATGTCGGGCAGCCGGAGAAAGAGACTGACTCAGCTTGTCCAGTTGTGTATTTTTCCTGCTTCTTAAACCTCTCCACAATCTCTTTCACTTGTTACTTAAGTTCTTCCTTCAGCTTGTTTTTACTTTATATGCTTTTTCTGGTTCGAGGATCAGTAGGGATACCTGTTCCAGGAATAGAATGAGTGAGGGCAAGAATGGTAGGTTGGGAAAGGAAGTTATCAAGGTAATAGAGGATAGATTATGTATTTGAAGGCCAAGAAAGGACTTCTGCTATTCATCTGAGTGAAAAGGGAAGCCTTTCAAGGTTTTGAACAGGAAATCAACATCATCTGAGCTACATTTCAAGAAGAGAATGGCTGCAATGTTGAGAATAGAATGTAGGCTGGAAGATTGTTGAGGAGACTATTACAATAATCCAAGGAAAAGATGATGGTGATTTAGACCCCGTGTGGTAGCAAGGAAGGTGTTTAGATTTTGGATATATGTTGAAAGTAAACCTAATGTATTAGAGACCTTGCAGAGAAGAGAAAACCGCAAAAAGAAACAAAACAGAAATGACAAAGAAACAGGAAACTAGTGAGGTAGAAAGAAAATGAAGAGAAGATGATGTCCTAGAAGTCAAGTAAAGAGCATTTATTGACTTACAGGGAGTGCCGCTTGAGTCAAATGTTCTGATAAATAAAATGAGGTCTGAGGGTTGATCTTTGATTTAGCAACGAGGACTTACACATTTGCTAAATCAACTTTAGCATGTCTAAAAGTCATCATCATCTTCCTAAATTTTAATTTTGGGGGTTAGCATAACCTATCTATTTGCCCAGCATTAGAATCCTGTATGTCTGACACTAAATGCTGTGCATTTGAAATTACTTCAGGGAGTGGAAATCAATCCAAAAAGGCTGGTGAGATTACTAATACAATCTTAAAATATTCTTTTAAATTGTACCAAACAATTTGAGTTTTATTTTACAAACCATTGAAGGCTCCAGGTAACATGATAAGTTTGATGCTTAGAAAGATAAGTCTGGGTCAAATATGCCTCTAGAAAGAAAAAAACCCTATTTGGTACAAATAATAAGAAAAGTCCCTTGAACTTTCTTGCTACCTTAGTAATTTTTAAGTTTGGTGCTATATTCCTTACTCATTTTTCATTTGTTATTTCCCTTGGTTATTCAGCACTGAAGGTTAAAGGATAAAGTCTCTGTGTTTACTTAATGCTAACGTATAATGGTATTTTCATCATTCTTTCATTTCAAAATAGGGATAAAGTCATTTCAAATATTCAGTAAAACTTCTGTTTTAGCAATTATTTTAATATTTGAGTGACATTCAAGGAGGTTTATGGTTCTTCATTCTTTGAGGTATTTAAGAATATTTCTGAAGTGTTTTTTTGATCAGATGTTTCCTGTGTGACCTAAAAAGTTCTTCATACTCTGTTGAAAAATGTTTAATAAGATTTCTAAGCAGCTATTTCATGGCTTTGTTGGATTATGGATCTCATTTTGTCCATTTTCCACAGGTATCTTCTCTTAATGGATCTTCAAGACAGAAATGAAAAGCTCTTTTATCGCGTGCTCATGTCTGACATTGAGAAGTTCATGCCTATTGTTTACACTCCAACTGTGGGTCTGGCTTGCCAGCAATACAGTTTAGTTTTTCGGGAACCAAGGTATGTAAACTTTTATTTTAGATACAACTCGTGTCCTTATTTATTTATTTTTTTTGTAAAGGCTTTGCAATAAAATATTGAATGGAATTGAACTTTGGAAAATCTAAATCAAATTTTAATTAAAAGGCATTAAATATAAACATATATAACATTAAAAACATAGTGTTTTCTTTCTAGATTTAAGATAAGGGGAAGGTATTTCTAAACCAATTTAGGTTTCCTTTTACAGAGAGTAAATGAACTTGTTTTTTATTTGGAAAGAGAATAATTGCTCATAATTAAACTTGTCTTTAAGATGTTAATTATCACTATTATGTATATATTTTATAAGTTATAGCAAAGATTCCAAATTTTTGTGGAAATGGTAGACTACTGTTTTCTAAAATCAGAGTTGGCATTAGAGTAGTTTTTTTGTTGATTTCCCTTAAGTGAAATAGTAGTTACCTTTAATGATCAATACAGTTGTTCTAAATCTATAGCTTCACTTTATTCAATATATTAATGAATTTAAAGATAAAAAGAAATGTTTATAAGTTTATACTAAAAAATATAAAAGCCTACTAAAAGCATTGTCATTGAAAGTTAGATTGAATATGTGGATTTTACATAGATATATGAATATAGTAGTATTTAGCATACCTATTCCATATTACTCTTTGTATAAATAAAAGAACTAGACCCTGACCAGTGTTGTTAAGTGGTGAGAGTGTGGGCCCCTCCTACCAAAGGTTTGTGGGTTCCATTCCCAGTCCAGGGCAAGTACCTCAGTTGTGGGTTTGCTCCCCGCCCTGGTCAGGGTGGTCAGGGCCTGTGCAGGAGGCAACCAGTTGATGTGTCTCTCTCACACAGATGTTTATCTTTCTCTCCCTTTCCCTCCCTTTCTTCCACTCTCAAAAAATTAATGGGAAAAATATCCTTCAGTGAGAATTAACAAAATAAAAATAATAATGATATACAGTACTCATATACCTCAAAAAATTATTTCTCACAATACATTTGCCAACTAAATTCTAAATCTTGTCCTTTCTATGAAAGAAAATTTGTATTCACTGTTAAAATAGCCATTATATAATGCAGTAGATATGTGCTATTAGTATCATTTAACAGACTACCTATAAATACTGATCTACTTCTTCTCTTTATACAAGGGGTGATATGGCTAATTCTTTTTGTTGTTGTTGTTATTCCTCACCTGAAGATAATTTTCCCATTGCTTTTCAGAGAGAGTGGAAGGGAGGGAGGAAGGGTAGGAGAGGAAGAAAGAGAGAGATAGAGAGAAAGAGAGAGAGAGAGAGAGAGAGAGATCATTGTGAGAGAGACACATCCATTGGTTGCCTCCCACACACACCTTGACTGCGGCCAGGAATAGAACCTGCAACCCAGGTAGATGCCTTTGACTAGGAATCAAACCCAGGACCCTTTGATGTGTGGGCTGGCACTCTAACCACTTAAAAACACCAGCTAGGGCTGTATATTATTTTTTTATTTTTATTTTTTAAAAATATATTTTTATTGATCTCAGAGAGGAAGGGAGAGGGAGAGAGAGAGAGAGATAAAAACATCAGTGATGAGAGAGTATCATTGATCAGCTGTCTCCTGCACGCTCCCTACTGAAGATCGAGCCTGTAACCTGAGCATGTGCCCTTGACTGGAATCGACCCCAGGACCTTCTAGTCCATAGTCCAACGCTGTATCCACTGAGCCAAACCAGCTAGGGCTGTATATTATTTTTTAATCATATAAATAATACATATTAATGAAAAAAAGAGAAAATGCAAATATACAGATGGAAAAATATTTTTTAAATACCTAATGTCATCATGCCCCAAACCCTGATATACACAAATACATACTGTTTTTGCTTATAGAAGGGATCATACTATATATATAAACTGTTACCTACTTTATTGTCTTCTCTGAGTGACATCATAACATCTGTCCATGTCTATAAAATATAATTCTACATAAAGAATCTTAATCAAAGCATAATTGGATAAAACATGGCTATTTTAAAATACAATTTAAGTATATTTATTGAAATTCTAACTTTTCTGAGAGATACTGAGAAATGCTAACAACTATAAGAAATGTGGAGGAGCTTAGATTGAAATTGACATAGAAATTTCAATAGCAACAATTATTTTTGAGCACTTATATACTAGATGATTTTCTAAGGACTGGGGATACTTCGGTGTATGTCTAAATCTAAGTACGAGAGACAGGAAAATAAGAAATAAGCATATTGTCTAGAATGTTTGCAGGTAGTTAAGTGTTTAGGAGAAAGAAAGAGTAGAGCAGGGACAGGGGGATCCGGAGTGTCCGTTGCTTTGGAGGGGCAGTTGCAATTTTAAATAGAGTGATAGTGTGGGCCTCATTGGAAGGTGATATTGGAGGAGTGAGGGGGAGTCATTGAGATACAGAGGAAATGTGTGCCAGGCAGGAGGAATAGTCAGTGCCAGGGTCCTAACTGGGAACATGCGTGGAGACCAGGGCAGCATAGAGACCAGTGAGGCTGGAGTGGAGTGAGAGGGAGTAGTAGATGTGATAACAGATGTTAAGATAAACGAGAGGGTCCAGAACCTTTAGGTTCTTGTATGCTATTTTAAAGAACATTGGCTTTTACTGTTAGATAAGTAGGTAGAAGAATCAGGTAGCCTGGTTAGTAGGCTGTTGCAATAAACCAAGTGACTCAGATTAGGAGGGTAGCAATGGAATTAGGGGTGAGGGTTCAGATTCTGGATAAAGAAAAAGAAGGTCTCAAGGATTTCCTCTGGGATTGGAGGCTTCCTAAAGCAGTGCTTTTAACTACTCTGGAGTAGTTTGCCTATTTTCACTTCTGGTTTTGCTACTTGTTTCAGTTTTGAATAAATTATTTAATGTTTCCTCCTCTGTAACATAGGGATAGTACTACTGCCCGCCATCCTTTCACATTTTTCAAATCCAGAACTTTGAAAACCAAAACATTAAAAGAAATCTCATTTGGGATACAACCTGATCTATCTGAACCCATTTGCGACAAAATGTGAACTGAATTTATAGTCTTTATATGGCTGTCTGACTATTTATAGTCTATATAGTATAATTTGTTTTTCTTTAGAAGTATTAATATATTTAATTTCTGGGGGCTTTGTCCAAAATAAACAGGGTGGATGGATGGGAGGATGGATGGATGGATGGACAGACAGATAGAATGATAGGAGAGGGAGAGAGGAGGAGGTATGGCAGGAGGTAGGAGACAGCAAAATGCTCACAAATGTTGAATCTAGGTGGAGGTGTTCATTGTATTATTCTTTTAATTTTCCACAATATGATGGCAGTTTCTGTCATGTTGATTTTTAATGTTTATATTTTGTTAAACTTTTGATGATTTTGAAGTTGTTAGTAGAATAGTTCTCATGGCTTCTCCCATAATTATAAAAAGGAACTTGTTTGAAAACATATTATTTAGCATAAATTTAGACATTGTATTTAATTGGAAAGGAAATGGTGATTGTGTTTGAATAATGATGGATCTCTCAGGCATCAGTTAGCAAATACACTGTTTGTTTAAAGCCAAAAATGACAAATGTCTATAAACCGTTCCTGTCGCAACAGCAGGTATTCTCAGACATTCAGAAGGTGAACAGGAGGATTATACCTGTTATTATATTTACTTTGTGAATTTGGTGGTAGCAATTAGGAACATGTTAAGTGAAAGTTAAAGGTTAATATTACAAGTACTGAGTGTAATACAGTTTCATAGCTTAACTATATTTTACTTACTATGACTAGATATTTATTTTTCATTTTGAATATGGCATTAAAATTTGGCTAGGTATCAAAAAATAAATTCTTATAAGAATGCTTCTACTTCCAGGATATTTTTTCTTAAGGTAAGATGCTGGAATATCCATTTATTGTTTTTTGTGTGGGATTCCTTTTCTTTTTGGCATAATTTGTGTGGGTTTTTCAAGCTTTCATGGATAATGATGTTTAAGAATGGTGTTGAGTTTGCTTGGATTACCTCCTTTGCATATGTCCATAACATTTGGATTTTTGCAGATCCAATATTTGGTAGTGGAATATGCTTGTCTAATTGTGGCTAATTTGTTGATAGAGGTGTAATTTTTGGAAGCTAGAAACCATTTTGTATTTTTGCAGAATGCTAAGCTTAGTGTTTTAATTAAATTATTTGTATTCTGTCAATCTTTTTTTTAAAGAAATGGTTTTAAAGCAGATTTACATAATTTATTTGGAAACATTTCTACCTGCTACATTTTAGACTGCATTTTCCAGGAATCATCTCCTTTTCTTATCTGTTCTTATTAGCTACATACCATTTTATCATGCCTTTGGCAATTAAGCATGTTTCTATTTTTCATATTTCTGATGTTCTATCAAACAGTTGGTAAGCATCTAGAGAGAAGGGATCATATTTTATAAATTACTTGAGGCACGGTGCACAAAAATTAGTGCACTCGGGGTGCAGGGGGGTCCCTCAGCCCGTCCTGTGCCCTCTCGCAGTCTGGGACACCTCAGGAGATAACGCCCTGCTGGCTTAGGCCTGCTCCTGGGTGGCAGAGGGCAGGCACAATCCCTAGGTGCAGCCCCTGGTCGGGCTCAGAGCAGGGCCGATTGGGGAGTTGGGGCGCCGCCCCCTGTCATGCACAGAGCAGGGCGA